CCCCTCTGCCCCAGGCCCCGGCGGCTCTGCGGCCTCTCGCCGTCCCTTCGCCGAAACCCGGGCCGGGGCACGAGTCACAGAACCGCCAAAACTGGGAGATGCCTTCGAGTCCCGCCCAGCACTGCCACTGCAACCCCTGCAGCACTAACCAGCATCGCCCAGCGCCAGACACCGTCCCCTGCTGGACACCCCCAGTGGTCGCGACTCCACCATCTCCCTCGGTAACCTGTTCCAATGCCTGGCCACCCTAACGTCTCATCTGAATCTCCCATGTCTCAGCTTTAAGGCCATTTTCTCTGGTCCTCTCACTGCCGGCATGGTGGAAGAGACTGATCCCCCCCTCACTACAGCCTCTTTTTAGACAGGATCATCCCATCAGAGAGCGTTTGCTGTAGGTGTTGGGAACCTGTGGTTTCCGTCCATGCTTGGTTCAAATTCACCTCCCCACCGCCTTTTTTCTTCTCCAGTCTTGCTCTCCTACAGGCTCAGCAGTGCTATTAAAGGCACCACGTTTATGTGGTGATGCACTTTTTTTTTTTTTTTTGCTTTTGGAAGATGAGCAGGTAAAGCAGTGTGATCTCTTACAGTGAAGTTGTTGCTGTGGTGAGGCAGGGGTCGGTGGTGTTTCATCGGCTGCATTCTAAACCCTCCTGGCAGCCCTGCCATTGGCTTCCAGGATAAGAATGAATGCCAGAGAAAACTGTTGATTAATCCAAGATGTAGAGCTCTTTTCCCATGGCTCTTCATCATTTCACATCTTCAACATTTATTTAAACGTTCTAATAATCAGTGGGGGTTTTAAGTGCAGTTGTAGGCATGAATACTGAAGGAACACAAATTAATCATGAGCAGTAAAGTGGTACTTTTTATACTGAGTTATTTCTGTTGGGATAATATGTATATTATTCCTTTGGTAACTAATCTGAAGATAAGTTACCGTTAAGGTAAATTTTCCTGGGAAGTAAACATGATGTGATCAGCAGTTTCATGGATGGAAAAGTCAATAACTAGACTGGTTGAGAATGATTATTTACCTGATAGCATTAAAATGTGGTTTAACAGCTTTGGTTCTGCCTTCATGGATTGAATTTGCCTGGCCATTGTGGTCACTTAGCGGTGCATTAATTCTGCTTTCCAGAATTTCCTCCACAGCAAGTTAGGTCTGTCAGATATTTCAGCTTCAGGCCCTCGCTCCTGTGTGTAGGATTTTGGGCAGATACCTCATGTGTGTTCCAAGTACTTTTCTCCCTGCAGTGCAAGTCATTAATTGGAAAATTTCAGTGCAGTTAACTGGTATGTGCTTGTTTTTCACAAAGAGACTCAATTTTCAGCAACATAATCAGCCGTGGGCCTTTTTTATGATGCCAAATATGCAGTAGGAGAAGGACCGAATTACATAAGGTTTTTGCAGAAGCACCAAAAATTATTTTTGGATTCCAGGTTTCCATAATCTATCCAGTCATGTTCTGAATAAACCTTAGAACTGCTCTGATTAAGAAATAAAATTAACTTTGAAGTGGAAAACAAATGCATTTTGGCTTGGTAGGAGGTGGCAGTTGTCATTTGGGGGACTTAATTGTAGGACTTACAGTCCTTGCGCATGCTGCACTGGTCTGCATTTAGTTATTAGGCTTTATTTGTTTGGTTGTTACTTTTTTGGTAGTGTTACAGATAATTTAGTATGGATGCTTCAGCAGTGGTGCCAGGGGGTCTGGGTATTACAGCATTTTTACTGTTGGGTAGACAGGAATGCTTGGGCTGTAAAATACTTGACCAGGAACGGTTCAGTGCAGCTGCCAGCTGCATTTCTTTATGTAAAGATGGCTCCATGTGTTGTGCAATAGTGGGGGTATGGGATAGAAAGCTTGGAGAAACCACCTTCACAGCACATCTTTTCCAGTAACCTTCTTAGGATAAGATCCTTTTTCAGCCTCTGTGCTGCAGTGTCACCAGAATTTGGGAAGGACAGGAGACTTGACACATCCGTGAATTGCCTGTCATATTTCATCAAGCGCATGCTGACAAATGAAGAACCGGTTGGTTTTTTTGCCCTCCCAGTTACACTGCACATCTCTGTGTGCTGTGTTTGGGCCAAAGTTTACATTTGCAAAGGTCTGCCATAAAAATGAGGTGACCTGATTTAGGTTTCTGGGAAAAAAATTTCCTGGAAGTTTCCGGAAGGCTTATAGGACTGCTAGACTTTGATTTTCCAGATGTCTTGATCTTATTTAGCAGGTTTGGGGGTGGGTTTTTTCTGTTGGGTTTTTTTTTAGGTCTTGCTATTGCTAGTTTGGGGGCATGTCCAAAGTCTTGGGACCACAAGATAGCAAAGCTATAAACATCTGTAGCTCCTGAGCTTACCTAGCTGTATTTTATGAATAAAATACTTCAGGTATGTTCACTATTTGCCTTCTTGAACAAATAAAATAGAAGTACTCGGTTTTAAAACACAGACACAGATATCTTTGTTCAGAGACAGAATTTCTGACAGTGCTGAATTTTGCCCAAGAGCACCTTCTGCCTGAACAGCAGAGTGAGAGGAGGGCAGTAGGCAGACTTCACTGGTGGGAGCTGAAAATGCAAATGGATTTTTGGGTTTTCTGCTTTCTGGGACTGGTTAGGAAACAGCTGGGGCTACTCAGGGGCTTTTGTAACCCGTGCCAGCAGGACAGGTCATCCATTTGATTCTCTTTTGAAACTTGTACCCTTGTACAAGAGCTCTGCCTGGAGGACCTGCAGTGTGATAGCTGCAGTTTAGCTTTGTGCTTTGGATGCATGCACTGCATTTCTGTGAAAATAAAGATTCATTCTATGAAAGATTGCCTTACCCTTTTTAAAATGTGATTATTATCTCTTTAGAATAGAGGGAAGTGTTTCATTTTTGTGGAAGTCCCTGAGGGAAAATGAACTTGGGGGATTTTTTAGGTGTGGGGTGGGGTTTTTTTGTTTGTTTGTTTTTTGAGCATTTTTACCCATCAAAGCCATTACTTTCTGCTTATCATATTAAAAATGTAACTTTTGGTTGTTATTGCAAAGATACTTTGAAACTAGTATTTCTTCCCAACCAGTATGAGAAGAATTCATAAATATCCTTTAGAGTTACTTGAGCTTTCTAATTGTTTTAGCCAGTGAACTTTTAAAGAGCCTGTAAAAAAGTATTAAGAAGAGGAAAAAAAAAGTTCCGTAGTAGTCAGACTTGAAAGATTTGGTTGATAATTTTTCAGTTTTAAAATCTTGGTGATTCTTCATATTCCTCCACTATTTTCAGGTTAAAGCATATGATTTCAAATCAGTGTCATCAGTGGTCAAAAGCTTTCATTAGTTCCAGTTACCAGCATACCTTTTGTCTTGTTCTTTATTTCAGAATGCTTAACCTAGTGAATGATACCTTTTATTATATTTTAATAAGAAGGTATCATAGTCATGCTAAGAAAACACAATTTTCTCCTCAAAATGATGTACAAATGTTAAGCTGTTATGTTTTGTATTGCTTTTTGGTTTTTTACTGAATGCACTACAGCTGCAATGTGGCTTGTTTTGATAGTAAAACATTTCAAATACTAAATTTTTTAAAATTTAATCTTTTGGATTTTATCTATTATCAAAACTTGTTTGCATAGTAGTGCAATTTAAAGTTTTGTGCAAATTAATGCTTCTGAAAAGTTGGAGTGAGCTCACTGAAGCACTAATTTTCAAGGGCAATTCTTTAATATTGAAACCCAGCAAAATGATAAAATTGTAGTATACTACAGTTCTATCCAACACATTTTTCCATCTGTAGTGTAAAATGACATGCACAGGTCAGTTAGTTGTAGAAATCTAGGTGCTAAGTTTTATTAATATGGTGTATTAAGGTGTTCCATCTAGTTAGAAACTCCCTTTCTATGAAGAACACAAACTCATCAGTGAATGCCATGTGCTAGGTTATCAGTATACTAGGGAATAATATTTCTGTCTTCATCATGTGGACAACTGAAAATTTTTAATTTAACACTAGCAGCATGTGAAACTGCTAGTCATATTTGGGAGTATTTCCAGCTTGTAAAATTGTATCAAAAGAAAAATCAGTGCTGTGTGATGGTTGGTCTTTGTCAGTGTAGGAGTTTCCAGAGCAGACACTGAGGACAAAGAGAGAAAAGAACAGTTTAACCATGGGTTGTATTCAGAGGTTTTAGTGGTGTAACTATTTCAGTTGATGAACTGAAGACTTACAAAAATCATTATTGTAAGGAAATTGCCAGTATTAGAATAATTATGCTTTCTTGTATGAAGAGATGCTGTTATAAAACTCTTTATACCTGCCTAGATGCATTAAAAGCAACTTTAATTACACTGGTTTTGCTGGAGTAGTACAACTTCATGTAGCAGACCAACTTTTTGCCTCAAGGTTAGGCAGTTAAATCTGTAAATGTTTGCTCCATCTGTAAATGTTTTCTTCCCCCAGGTTTCAGAGATGTATGCTTTCCTATTGCTCTTGCTGGGGGAACCATGGGACATTGCCACATATTAACTAGTTCCTAAGTCTTTGCTATAAAGTAGCTGAGAGAGTGCTCTGTGTGTGTCTGTTGTGGCCTGCTGAAGTTCCCCTTCCTTGGTGGTGCACCTTCAAAACTAGATAGCCTTGACTTACAGACAGTTCTACTGGGGTTTGTTGTTAAAAGTCATGTAGCTAATTCCTGTATTATTCTAATTCTCTTTGCTTCTGTGTGCCTGCAGTGCATGAGGTGTGCTGTGCTGCTGCTGTGCTGCCCTGCACAGCTGGTGTTTGCTGCAGTTGTCAGGAGAAGAATTGCCATTTTGGGTTGGTGCTACTGCCAGTCCTCATTAGACCTCTAAATGATGCTCTTTTGCACTGAGTGGGTTGCAGTCTTGTGCTCAATCTTCAATATTTGGAATACATTGCCTGTTTCTTCTTTTGAAAAGGACTTTGATTTGTTCATGGTTTCAGATTATAATCTGAAGGGCTTTTTGATTGCAAATTGAAAATAAAAGATGTTTTTCTTCTTACAGGAAGGAAGAAACAGAAGCTTGCCAAAGAGAGAGCAGGACTTTCCAAGGTAATACTGTGTTCAATAATGCAGTGCTATTTTGAAAGATGTTTCACTTGTATTATTTGTAAGCTTTACTTAAGGATTGGTTTTGATTCCAGGATTCCAAACACCCCTGCAAATATGCAGTCTTTAGGTTTTTTTAATGCTCAGTAATAACTGTGATCATTCCTTTTTCATGTCAGACAGAGGAGTTATATTGGAAAGTACAACATTTGCTATGTGATTTGATGGTGTTTTCCTCTTTGTAATATGAACAAGGACTTTTCAGACTTTATTTTAAAATTACTGATGAGATACACTTATAACTGAACTTGATAGGTTCTATTGCAAAAAGTATTTGATTTCCTTTTCATTATTACCAATGGATCCAGAAAGAAAATATAAGATTTCTCTTGAACAATTGCAATAAAACAATAAAAACATAAACATAATGCACCTTAGAATTTGTATTTTCTCCTAAATTGTGTACTTAATGAACTGAGTATAGGTATTTCAGGCTCTGTCTCTACATATTTGTGATGCAGTGTTATGAGACCTGAGTCTGATTTTCAAAAAATATTCTGTGTACACTTAACTTAGTGATGACACTTGTTTCTTCAGTGTCTGTGTAACAATAGGGTTGTGTGCATGTTTAATTTCAGTTGAGAATATTTTCTGCTAACTTTTTATTAGCTGGTGTTTAAGGGCCGATTTACTGTGTGTGTTATAGTTGCCTGATCTGAAAGATGCTGAAGCAGTTCAGAAGTTTTTCCTTGAGGAGATTCAGCTTGGAGAGGAATTACTAGCTCAAGGTAATAATATTTTAGTTTCCAAAGGGTATATTGTAAAATAATTTTTCTCTGACTTTGCTAGAAGGTGACTTCTGTACACAAAGAAATTCTGGGGAGTCAAATTCGTCCAAGAAAATCTGCTTATTTGTTTGTGTGTTCAGAAAGTCCATCAAGAAAGGAGAACAGCTTAGTGTGCATTGATTCACTGTAATTTAATCCACTCTTGGTGTCTGTTTTGTGTAAAATGTATTACAGTGTGGAAGATGCTTGATTTCAAAACACTGTATTAATTTGTCACACAGGTGAATATGAAAAAGGCGTTGATCACTTGACCAATGCCATTGCTGTGTGTGGGCAGCCGCAGCAGCTACTACAAGTTCTACAGCAGACTCTTCCACCACCAGTGTTTCAAATGCTTCTAACTAAGCTCCCTACAATAAGTCAGGTATGTGAAACATTCCCTGTTGCTTTGGTGTAGAAATAGCTGAAATACTTTATCTGCTACACCAGTCTTGAGTATCAGGTTTTGTAATCTGTTGGTTTTTTAATATGTTCAGTTAGATTAAAAGAAGCTGTTTTATTTCACCTGAGATGGTAAAAAGTGAATATAAAAATTACCATGTAGCATTAATAGCAACCAGGATAAAATAGAAATACAAAACTTCTCTTGTGTGTAGGGTATGCTAAGCTCTTGAAGTAGAGGCATCTGACCACAGCTCTGATACTATAAGTGGATCCAGTGTTTCCCAAATAGAAGTTGGGGGGATTGGAAAAAACAGTAACTTTATTGCACTGGGTCTTGAGGGTTTGGTTGGTTGGTTTTTTTAATTTACATTTCTACAAGTGTGTGTAAATGCTATGAAAGTTCATCAAAATTAATCTCTTGCATTTGCTACCCTGTTGCTTCTGGGGGCAGCTTTAGACACAAGATGTTAACTAGCACCAGAACCCCTGACAGTTTTGGAAGCTTGGGAGTTTCCCTGATGACAAAAGTGTTAGCAGCATTGTGTATAAAATGCTCTCCCATTCTAGTCTGAGTACTGAGTGGGTAATATTGTTAATATGCTGGCAGGTGAGTCTGTTGTAAAATAAATGTTTTATGTTCTTAGAACTACAAGGGGACTCCCTAACAGTGTAACCTGACATAAAGCAGAGATTCAGTACTGGGTATCGATTGTCTCTTCTTATAGCTCAGGCCTGGTTACATTTCAGGTTAAAGTCCATATAGTCAGTGCTAACACTGGAAAGTGTCAGGTACTTAAGACATAGGAGTTGGGGAAATGATTGAACAAAAATGTTCCCCAAGAGAACAGTGCCAGAAACCACACAAAGGTCATCACTTGAGGTTGATAGAATATTGTTTATCTGACTTTGGCTTTGTTAGGTATTGCACTGTATGTAATTATTGTGGAACTGACTTCAAAAACTTAAGTCAAATAGATTGCCATTTTAAACTTTAATCAGTTTGTTCAGTAATTACACTGAATTACTTACACTGCTTAATGTTCAGTGTAAAATTACATTGCTTGATAATCAGTTGCCTGCTGTCAATTTTATGTAATTGTGAATGAGTTTTTCTCCTTCTTACAGAGAATTGTAAATGCACAGTGCTTGGCTGAAGATGATGTTGAATGAGGTCACACCACAACAGGGGGAAAAAAGTTTTCTTACCCCAGAAGATGAGCATCAGTAGGGGGATAAAGGGGCAAACATAGTAGTTAATGGACTGTGTACCACATCGGGTTCTACCAGAGTTAAAATTAACTTTGTGTAGGTGGGTTTCGCAGGATTTTATTTATTATCCCAGTGAAAAGTGTATTTTGATAAGAATTCATTTTATAAATACACTGTGTTGAGTTATCAAAGTATCACTAACTTCATTATTATTAAAATACGCAGTTGTAATGTTGTACATATACAGACATAAAACTACGACCTATTAAAAACCCAGTGCTCATTTTTGAAAAAACGAAGTTATGGCAATAAAGATTTATCTGCACTTGTGTGTCCCTACAGTACTACTTTAAAATCCAGAATATTTGGGTGTCAGAGCAAATGATCTAAAAATGACAACATTAAAATTTATTTTTAATGTTATGGATGGTCTTCCAGTGCTTTTAATTACATTTAAAACCTTGTGTAATTTCCTGAGAAAATAAATTTATGATCATTTAAACAGTAAGAGATCAACTTAGAAGGAGATGCAAATCACAATGGTAATAGATGACTGGCTGCAGAAAGAATGACAAATCCGTTTCTGTCAGGAACAAAAACATGTAAAGTGATCAATTAAAAATTACTGGCAAACTTGAAAGCTCTGTTAATACAGGTGTCTGAAACAAAGCTGTTTGGAATAGAACCTGGGCAGCTTTTAAGAGCACAAAGGTTGAGGTTTTTTGGAAAGCTTGAAACGCTGCGAGATAGACAGTTGACCTTTCATTCTGTAGTCTTCAAGACCATAGGAAATGGTTGATGACAGTCTTTTAAAGGCATTTGCCTTAAGGAAAAAAATTGCACTGATAAGGTAAGACAATTCTATCCCTAGGGTAAATAGCAAAGCTAATGGAATTAGATGTTGTACAGTTTCAGTATGGTGTGGAGAATTTTGCTTTGCCAGTGGAAAGAAGACAAATATATAGCAGGCTCAAGTGAGTAAATGTACTTATGAAAACAAACTTTTCATGGGTAGAATCTTCTAAACATTAAAACAGACTGGCTTCTGCTGTTCTCTGGGTTTGCTGTCAGCACTTAGGTGGCAGAAGAAACAATTAAAAATGTAGGTTTATCTTTTTGGCACAGTGAATTTTAGCTTGAGGAGAATGCTTTGAGGTGTCTTTCAGACCAGCTGACCATTAGTACTTATGATGCTGCTAGATGAATAGTAAGGTATTAGGTGACATAATCTAGTAGAAGTGAGACTTTGAGAGTACTCTAGCTAACTCTGTCTTATTCAGCCTTGTGCAAATTTCTTCAAAGGTAGATTCTCCTCAGTGGTTCAGGAATTGCCTCACACAGGATTTTTGAGAGGTTAAGGGGATAGTTGATGGTGACCTAGCAGTCAATACCTGGAATTGGAAGTAGAAGTGGCTCTTACTGAGTCATTCTACTGAGATGGTTTGATATGGAATAGGTATTTTCCCCTTAAGCCCTTGAAAACATTATTTCCAAAGATTTGAGGTGCTACTGAAATTTTCTGTAATGTGATAAATACTAAGGTTAGTGGCTGGTATCCACAAACATGTCTTAAACAACTGGATGTAGTTTAATCTTTGTGCTTGAATTTTTCAGGTAGCATAAAGTAAAAGTAAAATGTAGTAGCCATATTCTTCAGGGGATAATGGCCAGTGTGCTCTTTTAATTTATTTTACAGGGACAAAGTTATTTTGCACTTAATAAAAATATGTATGAAATTCTGTTAAAATTACAGAATTACATGTGAAATTACATGTGAAATGTGTAATTACAGAAGATTCTGACTTTAATGGGGTTTTTTTGCCAGAGTTTTTCTTTTCCCTTCTAACCCTTAAAAGTAAAAGGTAGGAATTCTTAGGTTATGTTGACAGAACTGTTGGCATATTTACTGTTTTGCTGATCGCTTCAGCATGTCTTTTTAGTTCAACTTTTAACATTGTTTTAAGGTGAATAAAACTTCCATCCTGCCTTGAAAAACAAACCCAAACAGCACAAGACAAAAGTCACACAAACCTGAGCATTTTTCTACACTCTTTGGTATAATGATGACAATTTGAATTCACATTTTAGCTTACAGCAAAGCTCTCCTGAACTGGGTTACAGCAAACCTGGGTGTCAATTCTGATTTTGATGGAAGCCTTGGTGACAGTCTGATTATGTCTATAAATGGTATTGGCTGTAATAAGGAACATAGACACACATATTGCTCAAACATTTTTCATTTTCTTGAGCTTGCAAAGTTAGATGCAAACAAAATTTAAGATAGCATAGGTTTAAATGTAGCCTTAAATGCAAATTTATTCTCATATCTGATAAACCAGAAGTACCTGGTTAGTATGCTAGAGCAAGCTCTGATACCTGTTTTGAGTGCCTTGGACTAATAGGGTGGAATGCTGGATCCTTTTAACAAGACTTGAATTTTTTTCTTCTCCCTAAATGTCCCAGTGATGCAAATACTGTACAATTGTGAAGACTTGGAAGATACTGTCTAGAATGCAAATTTGCTGTTGCTCCAAGAGTGGCAGGCTGACAGAGGTATAGCTAAGCATGCACAGTCCACAGATGTTTCAGACTCAAGCAAATACACTGCTTTCAGACACTGCTACAACGTTTCAGTGTACATCATCAGAAACGTGGTGGTAATGATGGATGGTTCTGCATCAGCAGTAGTAATGCCATTGCATTAGCTGTCCATAGTGCTGTGCATTTCTTTTCACTTGTGCAAATGAAAAAAAGTGTAGAAGTAATCTACAATTCCAGTTGTGGATTTGCTGCTGTGGAGCTCACAGCTGCTGGAGAGTAAGTTCAGTAATCTTATTTTCTGCAGGTTAAACTTCTAGTCCTTCTCCCAGAAAGAACCATCTTCCCTTTGCTTCTTCAAGAACATGGCACTTGTTTTCAGCACTAAAAGGATTTCTTATAAAGAAACCGAGAAGTCTGTTACTTTTATGTTGGGAAGTCTTCTGTCATCAGTTATGAGCTTCTCAGGCAGTTTTTATAGATAAAAACCCACCCAGATAGTTTCATTATCATGCAGGTCTACCTTTGATGTCTCACATTTAAGTTTTCTAAATTATGGAATCAAATCCAAAACCAGAGTGGTCAGGCACACACTGAATCATCTGCTACTAATTTCCTTTCCCTGGGGGCTGACACAATATTATTGTTGCCCTTAACATGAAAAATGGAGAAGTCCCAGCCCTGCTGTGTAGGAGGCCAGCCAGCCATCATCAAAGTAAAGCTCCAGCTATTTAAGCACTCAGGAGAATCTTTCTAAAGTTTCATTTGTACATCTGTTGATGGTGTGTTTAAAGTCCCTTAGGCTGAACAGTGGCCCTACATGACTGTTGTGTTACAGTTAACATGAGTTAAACATCAAGGGAATCTTTGAAGTGGTCACTAAGTGCTTTTAGTGATTGTTTCAAAGGCATGTTGTGCTGCACACCCATGCTTCTGTGTTTTTAAATGTATGGACATAAAAAGGGCTGCTGTGAAAAGAAAAAAAAAAAATTCTACAAGGCTTCTGCTGCACCCAAGTTTTGGGTTGGTTCTAAGTTAATGTGTTTACAAATACCAGCATAGCTTACAGTATTCTCTGTGCACTGACCAAAAGCCTGTTGCAAAGAGCTGAAACCTGTGCTTAATTCACAAGGACTGGGCTTTCATCAGAGGCGCTCTGGAAACCGAACTAGCTTCAGTTAACAGTACTTGTTTTCTGCATTTGTACCAAAATCAAACTTCCCCAAAAAAATGTGGATGTCTAATGCTGTTCTCACACGGCAGAGTTTGCCACATCCGGTGTATGAATGTGTGAGTGAAGCTGTAGAAAACAGCTGGCCCTTCTGTGTTACATTTTGTACCAAACTGCCCGACATGCTGGCTCTAGATAATGGGCAGCTTTTTCAAAGTACAGTGGTTTCCATGTGTTCTTGAAAAGAAATTCCAGGTTCTCTCTTCTTTCTCTGCAGTAGGGACTAGTTTTAAAGAATATTTACTGGACATCTCTTAATGAACTCACTCCCTGTTTTCCAATCATTCCTGTAACTTAATAGTCCTTAACTTTTAAAGGCCTCTGAGCTATAAGCTTTTGACTCCAGGCATACAGTTCCTGTTCCTACTTATTAAAGGTCAGGTCTGTCTTTAACAGGTTGACAGGCAGATGTCATGCAGTACTCACAATTTCATCATTTCCCTTGCTCCCTGAGATGTTCTCGACTCATCTTCGGCATGAGAGGGTGTCTGGTGGTGCTCCCATGGTGGGAGGGTTGCTTGACAGAGCGAGTATTGCGGCTGGCACAGTGTTCCTGCAGCCTACAGATCTCTTGGGATGGTCCATACTGCAAGGCAGTTGTGAGTAGCTTTTGTGTATGAAATTTCTAGTGTGCATGGAGGCAGAAAACAGATGAAGTCAGATAGTTCTGCCTCTTTGCATGCTGAACCCTTACAGCTAAAAACTGATTTGGTCACAAAATCATTTACTTGAGCAGGTCTTAATCTAAACAGCAGGGGGCAGTTTTGCACACACATTTTGTGCAAGCTCACCCTGCAAAATCCTAATTTTTAAAATCTTCTTGTCTGGTGAGGTGATGCAATGCAGCATTTCATCCAGACAGATTTGGTACGGTGTGTAAGACAGGCTCAGTGAAGCAGCAGTGGAATGTGTTTCTACTGATAATACCTAATTTTGGCTTTCAAAATCCTGTGTGTTTAACTTGTGATGACATGATCAGGAGGATTTCCCTCTTTCTCTCCATCCCTCAACAAACTAGGTATACAGATAAGCCAGCTTCATTGTACAACTTAAGCTCTGCAATAAAATGCAACTGTATCTGACTCCAGGCACACAAGAGAAGTTTTCCCCTGCCCCCCTGTGATTATTGTGGATGACCTTTGCTAGGGGTGGAAGTGAAATCTGCATTTTGAAATTTTGCCTGGAGCTGGACTCTGCCTGTGATGGGCCATGTGAGAAAACCCAACCAAAAAAATAAGGAGGCAAGATATTATAGGTTGGTGACAGGATGCAATTTCGATGCCAGTTGAATTTCAGCTGAAGTTGACAAAATCTACTCACCCTGTTGTGATCCTCCAGCTGACGTGAAGTGAGCTGATCTCCTGCTTTGTCTCTCTCATGCCTTGGAGGCAGCTGTTTGCATTGTAGTGTCACCCTGGCTCAAAACTGAATCTTAACTACTCCTACATCTCCAAAGTGCTTTTTCTCTGCTTCCTGGTCTGTGTTTGTGGGGGGTAAAGTGTATGTATGCTATACAAGTAAATGGAAATTTTCCACCCTTGTAGCCGTCAATCAGCATTTTTCCAAACATTCAACTTGTTAGTAAGAAATTCTTCAAAGTCTGCTCAACACATGACAACATGTAGAGAAACCTGTTTAATAAAAGATACTGTGT